CTGTTTATGATTTTATTAACTCCACACTTAGAGAATTCTGACTTAAAAAAATACTCGGACCTACAACTTAAAATTGACATTCTCACTCTACAACAAACACAAGATAATTGAAGATACGATCTGGCAATTTGCCTTTTCATATATTTCATACTGAAGATTTTTGCCTTAACATTTTAATCATTGAAGAAAAATTTGAATCAAGATCTGGCAGTATGGCTTAGACGCCTTAACCTGTCCCAAAGGACGACAAATTTTACTACTAAAGGTACTTGTACATAGATATCGTCGACTAAACCTGCTCAGGTGATGAGAACTGTGGTGGTGCCGATAGTTAAAAACAAGAACGGTGACATTGGTGACAAAGGTATAATTATCGACCCATCTCATTGGCCACAGTAGTTGCAAAAGTACTTGATAGCTTGCTTAACAATGAGCTGGATAAATATCTGCATGTACATGATAACCAATTTGGTTTCAAGTCTGGACTCGCTACAGAAACAGCCGTGTTATGTTTAAAGTAAGCTGTCAAGTATTATACTGTTAAGAGCACACTCGTTTTTGCCTGTTTCCTGGACCTTACGAAGGCGTTTGATCTAGTCTGTTACGACATTCTATGAAAAAAATGCAGGAGATGGCTGTTCCAAAGGAAGTTATACGTATTTTTAAGTATTGGTATCAGAACCAGGTCAACGTTGTTAGATAGTCGGGGGCCTGTTCGGTTCCGTACAGGTTGGAGTGCGGGGTGCGGCAAGGGGGGTTAACTTCACCCATAGATATAGGATCACTTCACCTAAGCTCTTCAATCTGTACGTGAATGCGCTGATAGAGGAGTTCGGCAGCACGTATATCGGCTGTCATAAGTGTAGTCTATCTTAATAATATTAGCTACGCAGACGATATGGTGCTGCTGAGTGCTTCTGTCTGCGGCTTGTCGAAGCTGCTTCGATCTGTGAAAAGTATGCTGACAGTCACGGTTTGTTATATAATGTGAAAAAAAAGTGATTGCATGGTCTTCCAGGCCCTGGTAGGGTGTCTAGATAAAATACCATTTGTTAAACTTTACGGGTGTACCCTAAATGGAGTGGAAAAGTTTAAGTGTCTTGGATATTTTGTAAGATCGGGCCTGGAGGACGATGCTGACACGGAGAGGGAGCGTAGGACGTTGTCTGTTAGAGCTAATATGATAGGTCGCAGATTTGCTCGATGTTCGAGGGACGAGATCACCCACATCAGGGCATTTTGCACGTCCTTCTATACTAGTAGTCTGTGGGTGAAATATAAGTTAAAACAATACAACGCGCTACGTGTCCAGTACAATAATGCATTTAGGGTGCTGTTGGGGCTGCCTCGTTTGTGCAGCGCATCTGGGATGTTTGCTGAAGCGTACGTAGATTGCTTCCATGCAATCATGTGCAAGCGGTGCACATCACTGGTGCGCAGGGTGCGGGTCAGCCGCAACAGTATCCTAAAGACATTTACTGAACGCTTTGACTGTCAATACATGAACGATTGTAACATGGTGCATCTATTGATTAAATCTAAAATAGTATTCTAATTGTAATGTAATTTTATTATTATTTACTTTAATTTTAATTTTAATTCTGCACTAAATTTTGAATTTTATTTTTTAGTTTAATTGTATTAAATCTTTGTAATGTTTTTGATCCATGTTGGTCGAAATAAATGATTTGTTATTATATAAAAGCAAAAAAAAATCCCTAAGAATACCCGCCCATTAGGTCACTAAACGGGTCGCGTTTTAAACAGGTTACGAATGAGATTTTTTATAGGTACATTTTATATGGCATCGGGGCAACTGAGCGTTCGAGTGGCTGCGTCGCTACTTGCATCGTTCCACTCGGCCACAGTCGCCGGCTTCTCTCCGCCCGCCATTGTACAATTACTTCAGCATCATGCACGGCTACGGACGCGTCACGATCGCGATCGTCAAATCACTACTATGGGAAGCCGCCTTTGAAATGGATATTCGAAGTCTATGGCAATAAATGACGCTCTGAGAACATTGGTTCTTGATTTGAGCCATAAAAAAAAAATCAAGTGACATGCCAAGAATAGAAAAATCTATTTCTCCAGCTACACAATGTACATTATGGGGCTGAAAATTAAAAGAAATTGATATTACAATCTTCGCTGTTATGTAAATAGTGTCATAATGTGTGCTATAATGTATATTGTTTATAATAAATAACCGAAATGTAAGGAATAATATACAACACAATCAGTAAAATCATTGGTACATTATCCGCCAGATTAACGCACAGGTAAAGTTATATAGTTTGTAATATAACCGTAACAAGGACTTTCCACAGATCGTGTGGAAGAATTAGAGTAGACACGAACTCTACAGTGGCTAGTTGTTGGAAAATCAAACGTACAATAACAAGTTAAAGGATATTGTCTTACATATTATATTGTTGTATAATACATATTTATTTTATTTACATTTAAAGTAATTCATAATCTTCTGTATGTAATATTTAACCAGAATAACACAAGGGCGCGGTGGAGGGGTCGTTTTATTTAAGATTGCGAATTATTACATTGCACTGCATATAAATACCGAGCTTCCGAACAGGGATTAGTTCTGTCGCTTTGTTTCCCTAGTAGACTGTAAGTATACTTCGCCAGGCGAGCTCTTCCCGCACTTCTGGTAGTGCTAGCAGTCTGAACCTAGAGCCTGATTTTTGTTACTATTTATTTTAGTTATCAGTAACTTTGAATTGAAAATTTCTTGTTCGAATTCAAAAAACTCTTCGCTTCGATCATTGAAACAAAAGCTGGTGAACAAACAAACGCTTTTTAATCTTTGCAACCAGGAATTGGATCACGTATCTGTATTATCATTTCCATGTCTCAATGATTCACTTCCGTTTTAGGCACGTCTTGGGTGAGCTCGTCACATGTTTCACCTCAACTTGCTTTGATAGTCTAGATCAAGAAAAATATTAATGATCTCAATTTTCAGATCCACTTCACGCCATAATTAATGCCAATGGATACCAGTTCTATGAATTCCATTTAATTTTTATTTATTCACTGTTCAGTCCCATACCACGAAGCCTGTAATCGTTCCAAAATTTCGAGAAGAAATTATAATTATCCCGAATAGCATACTATCGAACCACCTCGATATCTGTCTTCATTCACACACAGTTCCTTTATTATTCATAGCTGTTTCAAGACGATGATGCAGTATTTGTACCTCAAACAAAAGGCTTTAGAAGCTGTAAAAAATAAAAAAATATTTACAGTTCAAGGACGAAATGCGATAGCAGTTAGAAAAGCATTACTTTATCGTGGTTGGGTTGAAAAACGATCTCCCTATCAATGGAACACAGAAGATTCTCAAGTTTCGATGAAGTTGTCGTCAAGCGACAAACGAGAGAACGTAATTTTATCGAGTTTGGTCGAAAAATGTACTCCAAATTTAGTTTGGGGTGAAAAAAATTTCAAAACAACTCAAGATTTTGAACTACCTATTAGAAATACGCTTAAAGTAAACAGGTTATGGAGTACGAAAGCCAGATTGTATACATCTCTGCAAAACACTTCCTGGAATTATATAGAAAATGTGGCGGAAGTCAATGCACCCAGGACGTATAGTAATACCAATAGCGACGATATAAGAGAATTCATATACGATTACTATCTGACAGCATGTACCAGTCTGATAAAACTGATTCTAGCAAAAGTACGGATGAAGAGACCCATATTTAAGGATACTGGAACAATTCCTATTAATGTATTTGTATTTGCTATAAATCGATGTACAGATTATTTGTATAAGAAAGAAAATTTTGATATAGATAACAAAGAATATGACCAAATTACATCAGAGGACTGGAACCTCTTCCTAATGAAATATCAGTCTATAGTTTCGGGAAAAGAAGTATTTCAGATAGATCCAAATCTGCCCACAATGATATCTTACGCTAAACGTTTGTTAAAAAGAATTCTAAAATTACGACCGCAACTAAGGTGTGAAGGCTGCTCCAATATTTGGATCGTTAAACCATCCGAATGCTTCAATGGTAGAGGCATTATCTTATCTTCCAAATTAGATAAAGTACTCGACGTTGTAACTAATTCTAGAAAGGAATGCATTATCCAAAAGTATATTGGTAAGAAAAGTAATGTATTGTTTAAAAATAAGACCACGCCTGCAACATTATAACTTTTCAGGAGGTTTAAAGTTTCTACGAACGAATTAGTCGATAAGGTTTTTATTTTTAAATACAATAATTATAAAATTTAATATTTACGTAATTAGTTTCATGTAATTCGTATTATTTTTAATACGTTCATGCAATAAAAGCACTTTTGACGTATGATCATATCGCCATCCCCGGAGAACAAAAAGATAACTGCCATTATCACAGTTTTAGTGTTATATCATATTTACGATCTTTATACACCTATACATCTATTCAATTTTTTTTGTGATTTTTAAGCAGTTACTTACGGAATAACAGAATAATACAATATTATTCAAATTTTCTACCCATGCCCAAGTGCACAAGAATAAGGTTATATGATAATATTAAACAAAATGAGTTACGTTTCTTAATATGACAAATGACAAAAGAATTATGTTCTCGTAAAAATAACTACGCGAAATACACGGGTTTCAGGAACTGAGAAATCTTCCTCAGGGGCTTGAAATAGGTCTTGATAGATGCACGCCTGAGGACTCTGCCGATCTTGTCTGTAACACCTCTCACGTAAGGTAAGATGGCAGGTCTTCGCTCGAATGTTGGTGGTTTCACACGGGGCCTATGGCATCAGTCAACCGTGACCATGGGACCTGTAAAGGGCCCGAAACGTCGGTTTGTTTGAATAAACAAATATACGCGATTTAAATCCGGAAAAATAGTTTCATTTCCTATAATTATTTATTATTGAAATATCTCCATTTTCGCTTAACTTACGGCTGTTTCATTTATAATACATAAAACACAAAAAATATTCTTTCCTTAAATCAAACTATTAATCTTTACGCTCAGTAGGTAGTTAAAAACTTCGTTCCGTGGCTTAGTTGGTATAGCGTCTGCCACAGTATGCAAGAAGACGTCGCGTCGGTTCGAATTCGACCGGATCGAAGGAATTTTTTCTGAGTGTTCGATCTTTGTATTAATAATTATAACAAACTAGTGGAGTAATTTCACAAAAAATAATTGAATATCAATTCAATAAAAATTTAATTAATACAGTGAATAGCGACGTCTCTCGCCAGGACTGGTAGCTGTAAAGGTACTAACTGGGTGATAAATCTGCAATAGATATCCATAGTTAAAAACTTATCAATGAAAACATGTTTTTTATTTTTCTTGAAATATTACTTTGTTGCGATTATCATTTTGTTCTCCGGGGATGGCGACAGACATGTGGCTTTATTATATGAACGACACGAATTATGAAGTGGTTTTTGGTTATTTTATTTTCACGTTGTGCTTTTTTCAGAGGCACCGTTGTTGGTATATGAAAGAAAATTTGATATAAGGCAATATTTTCTTATAACAAATACGCATCCGTTAAAAATTTGGATGTACCAAGATTGTGTTATTAAATTTTGTTCGCAAAAATACAGCCTAAAAAATCTTCACGAATCCATCCATATTACAACACAAGCAGTACAAAGACGTTATAAAAATTCTGACCCACACCCTGGACTACCGAAGAATAATTTCTGCTATTCAAACAAATACAGAAACTATCTAAAAGACACAGGCAAAGGGAAGTTCTGGGACGATGTAATATACCCTGGTATGAAGAAAATAATAATCGGAATAATGTTAAGTAGCCAAGAATTTTTGATGGAAAAGAATAATCGTTTTGGGTTGTACTGTGGCGATTTCATACTTGACAACGACTTCAGACCGTGGTTAATTGAAATAAACAAAACTCACTTTTATTCATCGAATGAAACAGAAATTTGTCACCGAGTCATATCAGATATTATTAAAGGTATATTAATAAATTTTTTTTAAATGCTCAGGAACACGGAAAGACTTTCCGTGTCATTTATGGACCATGCGACTTCTTCCCGGCCAACGCCTGTAAATTGAGCATGAAAATACATTACTGTCTGCTGCTTTACGAACATTTGCGCACTACGTCCGATTCGTATCAGGCACTGTACTTTCATTATCTGTCCGACGTTCGCTCGAACCATTACTGTCAAATAAGTAAGACTCCACCAAATTAAAAAACGCATGGTGCGAATAAAGCTTCATACTTGAAATTGTTTTTTAATTTAGTCGAGTTTTACTTATTTGACAATAATTGTTTTGGTTGGATGTTGAACGGAGAACGAGAGTACAGGACCAGCATCAGATCATATAATAATATAATCAGGATCCTCCCTGATAGTGTATCCTCCCGGATAAGAATCCTCACGACCTTAATTATTTAAAGATCCTGTTATGAAGTAATATCCAGGGCCTCTCAGCAATATTATATTGCTGAATCTACCTGCCTACTACCTCCCAGTAGTACCTGGATTACATTTTTGTGTACATTTCTTGTCCTCCTCTTTAAAGGTCAATTGCAGCGTCGGAGTCGTTGGTGACTATCATAAATAAAATTAGGATATGAAATACTATCAACGTAAGGTGTTTGACATAATTGAATTGGTTAGGTCTTTTGTATCATTTATGTTGAACACATAAACGTTATTATTATCAAAATTTTCATCATAAACTTTATGGTCATTAACATTATACTCATGACCATTATGTTCTAAAACTCCTTCATTTGATATAATTACTCTATCTGTTTTCATTTGTTCTCTATGTATTACAATATCGTAGTCTGAACTATTCTATCTACCCCGAGTTCCGAATCCGAGAAATGACGATCCGAAATGTCACAGGAATCATTTTATCTCTAGGTGTACAAGCAATATTCGTATTTTCTTGGTTTCGAGTCGGACTTAGTGTGCAAGCAACATCCGAAGTGGGTCCGAGTTTTCTAGATTTGTGTAGTCTCGGATTCGGAACAAATACGAATCGGATGTAGTGCGAATACGCGCTAATGGTTACACTTACCGCCACTCGTGCAGAGGCCGTGGTCGAACTCACGTCCTGTGCTTCCATGTCAAAAAAGGTTGTCAACCCTTGGAAAACGTGTGAAGTCCCCAATCCGTAATGACCAAAGCCCCCTCATCTGAGAGGAGGCCCATGCTCAGCAGTGGGACTTTTTTTATTATATCAAGTAACAGAACGAACAAGTCGTGCGCCGATGATTGTCCGCCTGTCGCAGTGCCACTCAGAGCTTTAAATAGCAAAGATCCGAGGGGCACTGTCACCCTGAGACAAAGTTTGACACGTCATGTGCCTGTAATTTCACCAGCACCCTTACCTTTCTAAACCAGAGCGTATTAATGCTATCATTACTGGTTGGCGACAGAAATAGGTAAGGAGGCAGTACTTCCCTGGACGAACCCTTTCATAAGGAGCTCCACTGATGTACATAGGTTGATGATGACAATCTAATTATTTTACCATTTCTTGTCTCAGTTGTAATCGATCATGCTCAGAATCCGGAAGCATCGACTGGTAAATTTGTATGCGTATACAGCCAACCAATAACACCATCGCTTCGAACTTGTGAATATGATGCTAGTGCTTTAGAAATAAAGGGTGTTCGAATACTACCACATCATTGTAACAAGGAAAATAGGGATAAAGAAACAAAAGATATGATACATAACGTAGAAGATTCAACAAGAAAAAAGTGTATAACGATTCCCGATAAAAGAGTTGATAAAAGAATCTTAGAACGACCATTATTAAATACTATTCATGAAATGGATACGTTATTTGAACTTGCTAACATAAAAATACAGGATAATGATAAGCATTTAAATGTTAATACCGACAGAAAAAAAAACACATTCATGACGCAAACGAATTTATATTTATTGGATGATAGTTTCGGGTTATAAGAATTTCGGTTCTTATAACTTGTATAAATGGTAACATAGACAATAAAACGTGCCCATAGGCGACACAAACAGATTGAACTTCAATGACAGAACCTTATTATGATAAACATTATGACGTACTCCCATAAATAGCACCATACGCTTGTGTAGAACAATCAACTTCAATTTGGACTACAGAACTGATTATTGTCGTAAATGTAAACAGGATGACGCGATAGAATTCGGTGTTGTAAGAAAACTGGACAATTATAGTATATGTCATAGGATTTTACCACAAAAGATGAGATAAGTTGTACCCTTGTTGTAATAACACTACATCTGCAAAATGACGACTTGTCAGTTTACACGTTTATAGATTTTACGAACAAAATCAGTCGAGAACTTTTTCGAGATTAATCGATAGTTTGTGAACGTAGTTCGTATTATTATACAACTTTAATTCAAACACTTTTGACATATGATCACATGTAGCTTTATTATAGCAAGAGTACAAAATTCACTTTGTTACACTATTACAAATGTCTATGATTTTTTACAATTGTGGTACAATAAAGTTACTAATATTTAAAAGAATACAATTCTTAATCCAATTACAGTACAATCTATGTCATGTTTTAACATTGGTCGTACAATAGTCTTTTAGAATGTTAAAATGAATAATTCCTAAGGTAAGTAAAAAATATGTAGGTACTATAGGAGTAAGCAGTTCCTTCAGTAGAGGAGTTAAATTAAACATTAACTAAATATTAAGTCAAAGAGACTACGATGCATAGTACCAAATAGCACAACAGGGAGACGGTGACTTTTTGATTATGACCGCTGATAACAAGGAGACATGCGCCTATAAGATACAAATAGAAACAAACGCAAAGACAGAACCCAATGATGATGACCACTGGAATATGAACGCAGACGAATAGAAGTACGTCTACAAGATTGAAATGCAATCAAATAGAAAAACTGGACCAAATACAAACGAACATATGAACCTTAACAGTATACAAATTGAATGACTGCAGTGACAAATATCATTATATACTGGCATTGACTTACAAATAAATGGACGACGGGTCTAATACAAAAACCACGAAAAAAATGTCCCAAGTCAACCTATTCGAAATTTAAATTGTAATGTCATCGCAGTATCGCGCTGTCAGTCGAACAAATGAAGACTAAAGCGGAGTTTGGCGCTCTGTATACGATTTTAGCGCCTTACAAGTGCGGACACTTTTTAGCGCGGACCCGACGTCCATATAATTGTAAGTCAATGTATATAGGTGTTTATTTCAAAACGACAGATGCTTGTAATTCCTTGTTCGGTAAGGGACAAAATCTTCGACAGATTCGTGATTAGGCACGTTCGCAATTCGACAGTCTCGAGTCTTGAACGGATTTCTAGATTCCTCAGATAAGTTATAAGGCAGAAACACTATAGTTGGGCACAAAATATCTGAATTCTACAACATAGGTCATTTGATACGTACAAAAAGAACAATAGGAAACAAAAAGTGATTAATGACAAACAAACAATAAAGAATATTGCAAAATCAATAAGTCTCTGATTTCCAATATAATTGTTTACTATTAGCAAATAAATCTAAATAGATATCTGTGATCGGAGTAATCCGACGTAAGAAGAGGGGAGTTATAAGTTTGAAGAATTTGACTGTGTGTTGGTGCCTCTGTATCTATGTGGCATCGCGATTATTCCCACTAGTTATTCTACACTTCTGTTGACGGAGGAACTACTGGTGCTTTTCTGTTAATAGAACAATTGGGATTTACGATTTCCAGTAGTTCTGTCGTTTCTGTCCGATTATTCCCACTAGTTCTGTTGTACCGTTCTATTGACAGAACTACTAGTATCGTAGCATACGGATGGTCTGGATCTGTCTTTTTTTAAAGCTAATTAATTAATAGCTATGATTTATGTTTGATGAATACATGACCAGCTGTTTAAAGATCATTAGACAGTGAAAAGTTCCAGTTAGTGTAGGGATCTCAGTCAAAAATGAATATTTCTTTTACTTCCACTTCTTGATCGACTTGAAATTTGTTGTATTATGGAAATCCGATGACATTACAGTACTATAGTAACCTTAATGTTGCAGCCACGACAGTCTGCAGTTTACCGAATTCTCAAATACTTAAGTAGCAGTAGTACCTTGTCCAGAACAAGCGAATTCATCTCACGCGAATCCATAAGCGTGTCGACGAGGTGCTGGACGCTATACTTCGCAATCACAAGGCTTGCATCAGTTTAAAATTCGCGTGCAATACGCTGGCGTATTACCGCAAATTACTTAATATTACTACGTAACAGATGCATCAGTCTCATAGAAAATCGAAAATACCTGCGCTATAATAGCCTACTAAATCTGACTCCAGGCGTTCATAAGAGCAAAAAGGAACCTAATCACGCACTCAGAGAGTTGAAAATAACGTTGCCCGCCGTGTGCAGTCGTGCGGAACCGAATGCTCTTAAATGAAAGACTTGTATGAGCGCTTGCGCAGAGCATGTCTTACTCAACGGTAGGCACTTATAGCGTACCTTGAGCGACTCACGGAGCCCTGGCCAGACTTTCGACTCGCACGCATAATGCGCGTGACTATGGAGCAGCAAAGATGACATGGGAAAAAAAACCAGCAATATGGGATATAGAATCTTCTGAGTACGCTAATAGAATTATAAAACGATACAAAGCTATAAACGTACTAATGTGTCATTATATCGCAAAGAATTGGATACACCTATGAAGTATATTCTGCTTTCACTTCGTTTTCATTTCTTCTAGCGACGGTAAGCTAGCCCCCTCGATCGGTTCGTCCAAGTCCATGTTAAATACTGACTGAATCCGTTCTCCGCGTACGCGCGTGTACGCGCTTGACGATTCACGGCGAATTCGGTTCTTCTGGATAAGGCTTAGGGCAACGCCTCCTTAGAGTTCAGGGATGTATTTTCATAAATAATAAGTACTAAGTGACGGGCTGGACAATTCGCGCGCCTGATGTTAAGCGGCACTACTGTACATAAGAAGATCTGAAAGGGACTGCCATTGCGCCCGTCACCCTAAGACATAAGTTGACACGTTTCCTTTCCATCATCGGAACTACCTCTATATTTCGCACGATGCGTTTTGCTTCCAATTTTACGTGGCGAGAAAAAATAGGCATTATTTAGGTTTGCATGTTACTACGTCGACTTCATCCTCACTTTCCATCCGGTGAGATCGAGGTCAAATGCAAGGAGAATATATAACCACTACGTTATAGTCAAATGTGCCTGTAATTTTACCACGTACTACCCACTTACCTATTTCTTGCCAAGCAGTAATGTGAGCATTTCTGCGTTCCGGTTTTCTAGTTTAAGAATGCTGATATGCTGGACATAATATACACAAAAAATATCTAAAAATACAGACGAATTGAGAACCTCCTCCTTTTTCGAAGTCGTTTATAAAAAGTTAAACCTGGACTTCCATATAAACTTTTTAATTGGTCACGATAAAACTTCATAATGATTGTGACTTTGAGACTTAGAGAATGGAAAAAATGAAATATATGACGTCTGATTTATATATATGTCAATATAACATGTCCTTTGGTTTCCACTTACGTTGGAAACAAAATAATGGAGTTCCATCTTAGATGATGGAAAACAATAGTCTAAGATTCCCATAGTCCAAGCTTTGAGAACAGCAAAAAACTTCAAATCCACAAGAAAACTGCAGCCGAAAAGGGCACCGCCAATGAACTAAAAGAAGAAGAAGAAGCAGAGTCATCAATGGCGGCAATTAAATAGTAAAGTAATGGGAAACAAAGTAACGCCTGAATCTATTAATTAATGGGAAACCTATTATAAACACTAATACTACATCCAAGAATCAAAATGCAACCAAATCAGCTTTATCATTAGTCCATTACGATGATCTCCCAACAATGAAACCAACACACCAGGATAACAGACAGGTAAAATATTACTATTAATGGTACACCACTTAGCAACTCTTGGTCAGCATTATATTATTATTAGTATATTATTAGTAATAGCATTGAAACCATCAACCCGCGCCTCTGCGAACACGTTTGACGCACTGCAAAAGTGCGGCAGCCCCATCAACATTCTAAACTCATTATTGTATTGGACCCGTGGGGCACTACGCGATTTTTTAATATAACTGTACGACAAGTTACTCGTGTGCAACGATTGGCAGTATGCTTTGAAGAGTGTAAAACTTGTTTCGAGTAGATAACACCAAAATAAACACTTTTTATTCTTATGATCTCATCATCTTAATTAAATTTTTTATTGAATTGATATTCAATTATTTTTTGTGAAATTACTCCATTAGTTTGTTATAATTAATATTAATACAAAGATCGAACACTCAGAAAAAAACACTTAGAAAAAATTCCTTCGATCCGGTCCGGTGGATTCGAACCGACGTCTTCTTGCATACCGTGGCAGACGCTATACCAACTAAGCCACCGAACGAACCAACGAACCTCACGAATTCTTCTATGTGCTTGCATCGTGTCTTTGAACTTGGTCTTTCAACGACTTTTTAGTCGTAGCGCCATCTATGAGAAATCTATGACTATCTCTATTTCTAACTGAGTGTTCGATCTTTGTCTTAATAATTATAACAATCTCATCATCTTATCAACAAACAAGTTATAAAAACAAATAGGAACCAAATTTTAATAAGTATATTAAAATTGCCTTTGCCCAGCTCTTTGTCTAGACAATATCGAGGAGCTGGAGGTTGTTTTAACCCCGGATCTTCCCTGCGTAGGACTCACCAACCTTACTAACACTCTTCAATTTAGTAAAAGTTATTATGGCAAAAAAAAAGAATAAAGCACACACTTAATAGCCCCGCAATAGGAAAACCCTGCATCGTGGGCGCAGTGTACAAAAATTACAGCTATAGAGAAATAAATGTAGGCCATACAAATATTTCTCCGGGCTCGGAAATCGAACCCGGGACCTCGTGCATGTCGAGAATAAATTCACGAGATACTTGTACATGAGAATATATGGTGTACACCCTTTCTATTCCTAGATGTATCCAATCTTATTTGTATTGGGTACGGTTGGATACAACAAGTTGGAAATAAGAAGAGACTTGGCGCTCGTAAGTCACATAGTGAGAGTATTGCGAAGTAAAATTTCAAACACCATAGTGCACGCACGTGCACTGGCGCGACCTCGGCTGCTGGCGGAGCCGCGAGACAGGACAAATCTGCTCAAGAAGGCGCCTTTTAACCGGCAAGGCGAGACGAGACGAGAATTGAAATCACAAATTGAAAAGTAGCAGTAGAGCTACTTGTGAAAGAGTTCGTCGAGGGTGGTACTGCCACCTTACCTATTTCTGCCGCAAAGCAGTAATGTCAGGATTACTGTGTTCCGGTTTTGAAGGGACATGGGACTTGTCTACTTCTGTCTCAGGGTGACGGGCGCAGTGGTAGTGCCCCTCAGATCTTTGCAATTTAAAGCTCTGAGTCTCTGGCACTGTAACTGTTATGGACAGGCGCACGACTTATTCGTCCCGTCACTTGATGTAAAAAAAAAACCTATTTATATGATCCACTGCTGGGCATGAGTCTCCTCTCAGGTGAGGGTCTTGGCCATAGTCCGCCACGAAGGCCCGATGCGGGCTGAGGACTTCACAGGTTTTCCGAGGGTTGTCAACCTTCTTCGACGTGCAGATCTCACCACGATGTTTTCCTTCACCGAAAAGCTCATGGTAAAAAACACACACACTAACGCAACACTCACAATAGCCCCGCACTAGGGAAGCCCTGTGTCGCGGGTGCCATGGACACACACATAGACAACCACAAATTACACCCAAACTCGTAAATATGTAAAGCATGCAAATATTTCTCCCAGCCCGGGAATCGAACCAGGGACCTTGCTTGGCAGTCCGGCATGGTAACCGTTTGGCCACGGAGGCAGTTGGTACCTAAATCACGCTGTTATTTGTCCAGCTAAAGAATCTTATTCATGACATACTCGTACTACGTTTTATTTTACAGATGAATTTCGTCAACGGGAATGTCCAATATAACCAACTGCTATAGAAACAAAAGGCGGCGTAACGTAAATGTAGTGGCGTCGCGCCCATTAACAAAATTATCTATTAAATTCCAACTTTATTAAAGACAGACTATGCAAGAAACTAAAACAGCGATAGAAAATCCGGCATCGTCCGTAACCACTAAAGAAATTATTCAAAAATTGGATAACCACCATTTGGAACAATTATTTGAAGAATACATGTATTTTTACAATAGGCGCAAGAGGTCACAATTGAAACAAAATGAAGAATTAAATCAGTCTTCGTACAAATTTCCAAGATTAATTTCAGTGCGATCACAATCGGTGCAAACAAATATGAAAGACCACACATATCACGTAGTTTCAAATAAATCTTATCTTCCTAGACATTTAACGGACCTCATGGAAAAACAGAAAAGTATAGACAGAAAAAAGTATGGACACTTTCATACGTCACAGTCAGAAATATGTACTAGTCCAGTGATATTACATGGACTGCAAAATAATACAAAAAGAAGCGTGCCGGTATTTGTAAAGGTAAGTTAACCACTACATAATAACATGTAAGTTTGGTTTAGTAGGTATTGTAATTATTAATTGTTGATCCGTAGGTTTGCAATGTGTACCAAAGACGTAAAAATTACGCTCTTTAGAGCGTACCGTTAATCATTTTACACTTGCAGCCTTTGGATCCACTATTATACGCAAAAGGCTTACAGTGCCCTAAGAGTCGTATTCCAGAACTCTACTCAATGTTCAAGTCAGGATTTGAGCAGACTTGAGTATGATTTCAAGCGCTGGAATTACGACCCTAATGGCAAGGACTTGAGTATGATTTCTAGTGCTTTGAATTATACTCAAGTCCTGACTTGAACATTGAGTAGAGTTCTAGAATACGACGCTCAGAGTCCAATAAAATAACGCGTTCAGGATGTTGTTGGGGCTGCCGTGCCATTGTAGTGCGTCGGCAATGTTCGCTGAGACGGACAGGGGGCCTACCATAACCTTTCCAAAAACAACCTTATTTCAATGTAAGCTTAAAGTAAGCTTATTATAATATTACTCATATCCGTACCATGACGAACCTGTCCACCAAGTAATGTATTATTCCAAAAGTGATTGAAAGAACGAATGGTTTCCCAATATTCCTTACTAAAAATAGGAAAGAGAGTAATAACTCTCTTAAATATATATTCAGAGAATTTGGACTGCTGAAAAGAAAAGTATGTATTTTTTTTAATTTTATTTATTACTCATATTACAATAATTTATTATCTAAGTACTAGGCACTCTTAAACCTAAAGGGTTTGTTTGAGTGTTGCTCTATACCTAATATTTATACACACATAATCTTAAACATATAGACAACATTTTGTTTGTACAAAGACTTATGTAATACAAATAAACGTACGTACAGACAAAGCTCGTCACAAATAATGACGAAAGGGAAACAATATCGTGACATTTAACAATCTTAATAAATTAAATATAAATAACTATATAATATAATATTTTCATAATCATTAACATTTAAACGGAAGTAAAAACTAAGAAATGCGGTAGTTTTATAAAATATCGTGTTCTTTACAAGCCATCACAGTCTGGTGGCTCGGCGAAACCAGTTTGGTTGAGATGCTATACGTGCGTATACGGGCTGTTCCGTATCTATCAGATTTTATTACTGTATACATATGTCCCAATTTATATGTACACATTATTTATATATATTCAGTTTTCAATGTGTATATAAATACGCATATATTTTAACGATATATAGAAAAGTTTAGAAATGAGCGTATGTTAATAATAATTTACAATATATATAGGTATGTGTACATAATATTTATCCTTTTAAGTGTTAATTTGAATAGTTAGATCACGTGTGTTTTCGGGAGCGCGAGTGGGTGTATGAATATGCTTGTCTCTCCGGGTGTGTGTGCGTGCTTGCGTGCTTGCGTGCGTGCGTGCGTGTGTACGTGTGGGTATATGTGTGTGTGTTTGCTACTAGCCTTCCTCGTTGTCTGTCCGTCTGTTATCTACAATGGCGGTAATGTGTCTATGTAGTATTTTCTGAGTTCCTTCTTCACATTTATTACGTTAAGTTTTTGTCGTAGCTCATCGGGAAGTTGATTTAATAGTCTCGGTATCAGATATTCAATAGTTCTCTGGCCGTATGAGTTCCTTGCACCTGTTGTTGTTAACTTGCCTCTCGTAGCTCGTCTCGTCAAGTGAGTGTGATTGATCAGTTTTTGAAGATCCTTCCTGTGTATTTGTTCAGCTATCAGTGACACAATCGTACTTTTTGGCGTATAGGTACAATTTTATATTTCTTAAAAAGTGAGATAGGGATTTTTGTATTTATGTTTCTCCTTGAATGGTGTAATAGTTTTGAGTAATCTCAGTTGTAGTGTATATACACGGTCTAGATAAGTTTTAAAGGTACGTCCATAGTTAGTTATGCCATACGAGACTATAGATTCTGCAAGCGTTTTGCACATTGTCAACATTATAGGAAGATGGAAATCTGAGGAATGAAGGAGCAAGTTTGTTTTTTATTAATGAGAATTTTATAACTATTGCCCTGAGTTTTTTACATATAGTTTCCATGTGAGCTGCCCAGTTTAAACGATCACCTATAACAAGTCCTAGGTAAGTCGCTTTATTTACCTGTTTTATTGGGACACAATTGCAACCAAGAGGCGTGTTATTGTGAAGGCAGTCATGGCTGTGGGCGATCAATATGCTTCAGTCACTGGTAGTGTTGTGTGGAGAGTGAATGTGCATAAGATGAGTTTTCTGTGGATTTAGAACAAGACCGGCATCATGTGACCATTTGTTTAGGGAATCAAAATCTTCCTGCAGTTGATTGTAAGCAACGTCAAGGTTAGGATCTGCTGCAACTATACAAGTGTCATCTGCAAACTGGTATAACTTATAGTTTTTGATGACATTCATCACATCGTTGACATACGTAAGATAGTGTAGAGGACCTAGAACGGATCCTTGAGCTATTCCTTCTGATACTTTGACTAGGTCGCTGTATGTATTTCCCACTTTTACCATGTAATGCCGGTCAACACAACAATATCTATTTCGCTCGAACAGTTATGTTATGCATTCTAACAATTTTAAATAATTTTTTATCGTTGAGCGGATATTTGTGTGAACGAAAGTCAAACTATTTGGTGATTTGGTAGTATTATTAAAAAACTGAGTAAGGTTAAGGCAGTTACGTAATTCAGTGATGTCGTTACTTGTTATGTTAGCCATTTTTAATCATTAAAATAATACATTTTACAAGCCTTATGTCGAATTTAAAAATCAGAGAGTCGTCGTCACTTTTTATTATAAGATTTTGGTTTTTTCCGTCCTTCTGGCAATTACTTTCCCTTGTTTGCACCATATAAATCTATAATTATCTTTTAGTTTATATTTTGTTTTTCATAGTAGGGGTCTTGAAACAGGGTGTAAGAGCACGACGTACAATAATTTTGCGATTAGGATCTATATTGTTTTCGGAGAGACCTATAGAGCGGCTAGTGACTATCCAGGACGCAGCTGTTTCTTCGTCTTTGTCATTTTTTGGGGGTAAGAATGTCGCAGCCTTGATTTGGTCTTTATCTAATTTAAGCATATCTGCGGCTTTGACATCGATCTCCAGACCATTGTCGTTCCCTTCGTAAACCATACCGGATATTTTTACTTGATTACCTAGTTGTTGTTGCTCTTGTTCATTAAAGCGCTGCTTTATAAATATAAAATAATAATATAAAATCTATTAAAATTTCGTTGTTTTCAATAATTTTTCCGCATTTTCATGAAGAAAAATAAATAAAACAAGCAAAGTCCTGATAGTCACGTTGTGAATTCGGAATTATAGTCTTAATGTCAACTGTCAGCTTTGCCAAGGGGCATATAGATGGCGCTGTCATAATTTTACGAAATAAACTTCGCGTATTTTTAACCGACTTCAAAAAAAGAAGGAGGTTCTCAATTCGACTGTTATTGTATGTATTCTATTTGTATGTATGTTATGCGATAACTCCGGTATTTGTGCACCAATTTTCAGAACTCTTTTTTTTTTGGTGGAAAAAGGGTACCATCATACTGGTCCCATTTAATTTTGAAGAAAATCATCCACCTCTAAGAGTGGCTTTTCACGCATGAAGATTCATTTTTATAAATAGCTCCTAAATTTTATTATAAGTTTTAAATAAGTACAACTTAACTTTTAATCATTACAAATCGATGTTAAGACAAGAAAATAGAAAATAACATTGTTTCCATTGCATACGTATAACTATTTGAAGATTGCTAAATTTGACATAAGACCAATATTACTTTAATGTTAAAGTCGCGTCATTGTACGAACTGAGTGAATGAATAGTCGCAAAGCTGCCAATAAAACATCATAGTTTTAACATTACAATAAGATTACTTTAACCGCGTTATGGTACGAAAAGTCAATGTAAGTTTAAAGTAATATTGTTTTAGGAGGTTGTGGTAGGTCCCTTGGTTTCACGTCATTATGTGTAAGCGCGTTGTGTCGTTGCTGCGGCGCGTGCGCGGCAGCCCCAACAGCCTCTTGGGCATTGTTGCGGACAGAGTCGACGGTCCATTTGTACAGGCATGAGAGGCTCTTCATGCGACAGCCAGAAGGCATTAATGTTATAGAAAATTTGTAATTACTAACCATAAGGTGACAATTGTTACTAACACGATATGGAGATAATCCGAAATAAACTATTATTACTATTACAAAGATCGAACACTAAACGAAATTCCTTCGATCCTTCTGGATTTGGATCAGCGCCTTCAGCATACTGTGCTAGCTCGGTGTGTGCGTGCTGTCTTCAGCATACTCTCTCCACTGAGCTACGCTGCCCTACTTGTCATAACTAACACATTCGCATTTTGGAACTTTCGATTTATTGGCAATATAAACCTTTATTGTCACCTAAAAAATATCAATTACGCGGATTTCTCTTAATGATAAAACTGAAACTAATTAATATAATAAAAAACCGATTAGATGGAGTTGCACATCTTGTTTCGCAGATCCGAGATATGTTAATAAGTCAATTTCGTTAAAATGCGATTACGTTACTTATGATAAAGATGGCAGTGCGCAACGATCCCGCAGACCCTTGGATTTTTTCTATAATTTTGTGATGTTGATGGTGGTTTTCTTCAAGTTAGTATTTTTTTTTGCAGAAAACTGGTCACAATATTAGACCTTCATTACAAAGTGTGCAAAAATATTCAGTGTAAGTACTGCATTATTAAAGCGCTGCAACTGTTGTGGGTTTGTGTTGTCTACGACACGCGAGTTGTTTGTTCCATTACTTTGATAGTCGTTAAAAAAAAATTAAAAAACAAACCCTTCCCTTCAATTATTAAGGCGAGTTACCGGACGACAAGCGAATTAAAACAGTTTTGCTGGATCAAATGGTTTAGATATTTACTATTAAAAACGTTCTTACAATAAATATACGATACACCTAAGTATATTGTCTAAAGAATGTACTAATTTGTTACACGATAGGATGTAGGTACTTTACCCGATCATATAAAATCCTGAAAACGAGTTAAAATAAAATTGTAAAACGAATTATTTAAGAATAAAATATTTTACTTTGCACATCATTTTTATATGGAGGTATTTCTCTTTAAGTACTACGGGGAACCTACTAAATTTTGATTTTCAGCTCAAGCGCTATAGTCATTAATTCATATTTATCCCTAACCGCACCACTCTCTGCCCCGTCTGTCGCCACAAAGTACTTTGCAATGAGTGTCATACTTAATTTCGGCAAACACTATTTCGACTCGATAGTACTTCGACTACACATTAATTCGACGGAACACTACTTCGACAAAACACATTTTCGACAGGTCACTATTGCGACATAATGTAGATATGTATTAGAGATTTAGAACGAGCTGGCAACGTTCAATCGTGCATCCCACTCGAACTCGTACTAAAAGCAGTGAAAGATCGCTAATTGTCCCGCTCGCACCGTTCCTACTGAATAAAAAAAAAACAGGTGTACTATCAAAATCAGACAGTTCGTACTAAACTAAAAATACCGATGAACTATTAAGTAAGACCGTGCAAGACGGACTAGTTCATGTCAGTCAGTGTCGGGAATGTATTCGTAATGGTTCGTAGTTGGTGAATATGCTGTAGGATACGACAAAATTAAGGGCTTATTTCTAAAACGATTTAAACAAATCTTTGGTTCCCTATAACGTTCCTGTGTACTCGCTCCTTTACTACCGGTGTCTTTTCTGAGGCCCTCAAGCTCGCTATTATCCATCCAGTGTTCAAGAGTGGAGACAGAGGTCAAATAAATAATTACAGGCCTATTTCAATTCTGCAGAATTTTAGACAAGGTGTCGAAAATTCTTGAGAGGCTTCTTAATAATAGACTTGTAAATTATCTTGAAAATAATCTTCTTCTGTCTATATCACAATACGGTTTTTGGCCAGGAATCTCCACGAGTAGTACTGTACTAGACCTCACGTATGCGATTGTTACTAATCTTGATAACAAACAAAAGGTCGTAGCTGTCTTCTTTGATCTTGCCGAGGCTTTTGATACCATCTCGGTCCCTCTACTAATTAACAAACTTGAAGGGCTTGGTATTCGAGATCTTCAGCTTGATCTTTTCTCAAATTATCTCGTGGGTAGACGACAGTGCATTAGAATTGAGGATTTAACCAGTACTGAACTACCGATCATATACGGTGTGCCCCAAGGTAGTATTCTTGGGCCCCACCTTATTTTTGGCATATATTAACGACCTCTGTAAAATGCAATTGAACAACGGTTCCATCTTTACTTACGCCGATAATACTGCCCTAGTTTTCTATGACGATTCTTGGGGGTCTGCATTTAACTGCGCAAATGGGCTTCAACTTGATTTCCACGTGGCTTTCTAACAACCTTCTCATCCTCAATATGCAAAAAACTATGTATCTGACATTCTCACTTACAAGTCCAGGTCTCCCAACCTCATCTTCCCTATAACTGCTCATTCGTGACCGGTCTCTTCTCAAGACTTTTGTTCCTGTCCATCTTTAGCCAGCATTTACAATTTCAAGTACCTGGGTGTCCAGATAGATAGCACCCTTACATTTAGCTATCATTTGACAGTCTTACCCTGAGATTACGCAAATTAATGTTCATTTAAAAAAATCTTCGCCACGTCGCTGATATCAAAGTTTTGAGACTTGTGTATTTGGCACTCTGTCAATCTCATACTTCTTACTGTATCACGGATTGGGGGGATCTGCCAAGTCGCAACTTCTTAAACTGGAACGCACTCAAAGTGCGATTCTCAAGGTGAGATGGAGCCTACCCTTCAGATATCCGACCTGTGACCTCTGCAAAACCTGTGAGGTCCTTTCAGTACGGCAGCGGTATGTCCTTCGAACAGGTTTTACTATGCACACTCAAATCTCCTATGACTCTAATAACCTCAACACACTACGTAAACACACTCTCTGCCTTTCAGTTACAGTTTCCACTAGTTTTGCATACCGTCATTTTTATTTTCTGGGAGGCTACACATGAAATAAGGTTAACAGTGTTCTCAATCTTCATTCTTTGTGCAGAGCGGAATGTAACAAAGTTATTACTAACTGGCTGTTCACTCTCGACGATGAGTCGACTGAAAAACTACTTATCGTACCGGATTAGGTTTAAATCACACACACACAAAAACTGACACACACACACACACTCTCTTACACGCACGCACATACACACATATGCGCAGACACACACACACACTCTTAACGCACGCACACACACATACGCGCAGACAGACAGACACACACACCCATACACACACGAACACACATTGTTTATATGCTACGCTTTATTTTGTAATATGATCATATTTTTTTACAAAATGTTACATTCTTTATACACCTAGAGAGAGTAAGCCTGGTGATCTGTAACACAGGTCCCCAACCTAGTACAAACTCCAGCTCTCACTAAGCAACTTGTTATTACACATGAAATGTAACTACATACTTACTTATACATTTTTCTGGGAGAAATAAAGCATTTTGTATTTACTGTAGTTCATGAACTTTACAAGTCTACTGATCAGTCGCGATTGGGCTCTTACCAAAGTCGATCTGTGCGATCTGTGTCAAATTTTGTCTGCCTGTTCTTATTTAGCCCCGCACCTAATGCTTCAAATCTAGGCTCGCGTTAAAATAATCGCCTTAAGATGAAGTGAGATCCAAAATAGATGTTTATCTACACACATATCTTATAAACTCTATAATGTATTCAAAAACCGCAAATCACGACCAGCATAAAGGTAAACTGTTTTGTTAGAACAAATTTCTTATCTGTGAAAATGTTGTATTGCTTCATAATATTTTTTTTTAAATTTATTAAGGCTTTGGCAAAGCCATCAGCCTAAACATGAAGTTTAATTGTGTTTCTGTAAATATGGCCGCCACAAAGAGGATAGGCAATTTGAGGCGGCGTGTTTGGATTGACTCGGGATTCCTTAAAATGGGCGTATTTTAATTCGAGATTCGTATAATTTCGCGTTTTAATCTTCGATTAAGGCACAATAGCACTATCCTATTCCACTTTAAACTAAATTTCACAAAATAATTGAAAGTCAAAATAAAAACGACACTTTTCCCTCCAAAAGGTCCAGAGCGAATCGCTTCATAATAACATCGAATTCGATGTTATTATGAAGCAATACAACGAATCGAATTCGACGTTATTATTACATTCAAATTTCGAACATCACTGAAAAACAAAAGAATTTGATTGGACCTCAATTCTAATATCAGTCGAGATGAAGTTTTATTCGAAATGAAAAGTCAGTAGCAAACCATTTTGACAATTTCGTACGTTATTTGATATCGAATGATATGATAACGGCCCCAACAACGGGCCGATTCTAATTTGTCTATGAATTAAAAATAAAAACCACGATTGTGTGACATACGTGAGAAAAGTTTTTATTTGCCGCCATTTCGCCAGTCGTAACATGCGGTTCCTGAACACATCACAGAGAGCTTATAATATGAGTGTAGATAAAGCAGTGTATAATGTAGTAACTGTACATAATTAGGCATTAAAACACTCGTGATTTAATGCCTTTCGTTATGTAACAGTCACATAAACTACTATTTCACGTATTTCGACCACACGGAAAATCGGTTTTTCAACATTAAAAAATACGAATTCAACTTTTTTTTTTATTGATAATGAAAATTGAAGATATCAATATTGAACTATGGGTTCATTGGTGATTATTTAAATTAATAGACGAACGCTTAGCCACAACTTCACTTTGATATATAAGCTACGATGTGGCCGATGATTTGTCCAGTAAATGGTTTTTATTGTAGCATTGAATAGCCTTAAATAGTAACTTTCCACTCCTTTGCGCATTTGGCTATTGAGTTTTTACCCGACTGCGGGAGGGTTAAGTTTTTCAAGTATATGTATGTATGTCCATTTCTATTTCACGGTGTACAACCTAAACGGCTTGATGGATTTTGACATGAGGTGTCGTTAGTTTCGTTTTGATTGTGGGAGTATCATAGGCTATAAAAAAGAATCAAAACAGTGAGGTATATTTTTTATCTTTCCTGCGAAATATTTTTGCAGTCGAGATTTTGTTTTTTTAAGTAGTTTTTAGACTTGTTGAGTATTCTGACGAATTTATCGCTTTTGAAAAGGAAAACACATTTTAGGAAATGAAACTATTTTAGTTGACTGCCAACCGTGACCGTGAGTCTTGTAAAGGGCCCGAAACGTCGGTTTGTTTAAAAAAACAAATATACGCGATTTAAATCCGGAAAAATAGTTTCATTTCCTATGTGTAACAATCGCGAAAACCCAAGAACTCGAAAAACACATTTTTTTAATACTGTAATCAGATGTTGTTTTAATACTGTAATCGGGTGTCATAAATATATTTAGGTCTTTTTAATTTAGGTATATTCCGGTGTTAATTAATTGTGGAGTTGTCAACTTATTTCTAGGGGCCAATCACAGATTCTGTTGGAGCATCAGTCGCTTAAACGTAAAGCACTAGAAGCTGCAAGCCAAAGAAAAATATTTTTGGTTTATGGACGAGATGCGGAAGAAATAAGGAAATCTTTGCTTAATAGAGGTTGGGTTGAAAAACTACTACCGGATGATTTGTTATCAAGATATAATCTAAAATTAGGCAAAATAAGATCAGAAACAATTCGTTTATCAAGTTACCTAAAAGATTACCATCCAAATTTTGTTTGGGCTGGTAAATTATATGAACCGTTCGATTCTTGTTATAATCTCCATTGTGGTAGTAGCCTCAATAAAAGTAAGAACACTAATAAGTATAAAAAAGTACTTAGACATGATGATGCTATTGTGAATCTACTGAGAGTAAATTTAAAGTTATGGTGTTCAAAAACAGGACTGTGTACATCGCTGAAAGACATGGCTTGGCATTATATAAAGGATGTAGCGGATGTCTACGTTCCCCGGACATACACCAATACAGATAGAAATGATTTGATTGATTTTGTAAACGATTACCTCCTAACAGCGTGTACTGGCTTGTTGAAGTGGATTCTAGACAATTGGCATAACGGCATTACCATTTTTAGCAGAACTGGAACGGTTTCCATCAATATAATAATTTTTGCTCTGAATAGGTGCAAAGAATATTTAAATAAAAAAGAAAATAAAGATGTCGACGGAGCTCAAAGCAGAGCAATTACACCCGGACAGTGGAAAACCTTTATAATGAAATATCAAAGTTTAACAGCTGGTGGAAGCCTCTTTAAATTGGAGAATGAACAAAATATCCCTCTGTTGTTAGTTTATGCACAGTATTTACTAAAAGAAATTTTAAAATACCGACCTCAACTAAGCTGTGAAGGTTGCCGTAATATTTGGATTATTAAACCGTCAAATTTGTCCATGGGTATAGGAATTCAAATTTCGTCGCATTTACAGACAATACTAAATAAAGTAACAGACACAAAAGATAAATACGTTATTCAAAAATATGTTGGTAAGAATTATTCGACATATCTATAACAATTGTTTTGTAGTTTTGTCAATTTGCTTTTAATTTCCGTGCTTTTTCAGAGGCACCGTATCTGATTTACAAAACGAAATTTGATATAAGACAGTACTATCTAATTACTAGTACATATCCTTTAGAAATATGGATGTACAAAGATTGTTTTTTGAAGTTTTGTTCTCAAAATTACAATCTCAATAGCTATCATGAATCCATTCATCTTACTAACCAAGCAATACAGAGACACTATAAAAATGGTCCTGATCGAAATCCTCGACTTCCAAACAAAAATATCTGTGGTTTAGACTCATTCAAAGCATATCTAAAATGTATCAGACAGGAGGACATTTGGGACAAGTTTATATACCCTGGAATGAAAAAAACAATCGTAGGAGTTATGTTAAATAATCAAGAGGTTTTTTCTAATAATAAAAATCGTTTCGCTTTGTATGGATGTGATTTCCTACTTGACAATAACTTCAGACCTTGGCTAATGGAAATCAATAAGTCACCTGATTTGGGTCCATCTTACAAGGCAAAGCTTTGCGACAAAGTCCTGAACGATGTTATTAGAGGTAACGTTATTAAGTAATATAAATTAGAAGTAGATGATTTATCAAGAGATCCTTTATGATTCACGTGGGAACTTTACACACATAATTCAATTTCAATGTTGTGCTTCAAAATGTTCCTAGCATTTTTGTGCAGAAGTAGCAAACAAGATTTTAAGCCGGAGATGTAACAAATACTGCAAAAAAATATTGATATCCCTTCCAAAGTATATTCAATCAGTTAGTGTTTTCGAGAACTGAAAATAAATTATTAGCATCACTATTGTTTGTTTTCATGAAGTTGCAGCGCCCAGCGCCAGCGAGCTGACCATTTACTGGGGTATATAATTAATGGGACCTGACTCGCAAGGTTCGTGACTACTACATCGCTTAAAAACTTGCTTTAATATATTTTTATTCCTTTTCAGTTGTAATTGATTATGCCAAAAATCCTGAAGCATCCACTGGAGAATTTGAGTGCGTGTATCGCCAACCAACGACACCTTTTGAAATTACCCAAGCAGAAGCAAAAGCTTTACATGTACACGGTACTGCATTACCATTACATTTACAATCAAATGAAAAATTATTAGATAAAGCTTCTGTATTTCGTTCCACTAAAGAAGCATGTGTAAACATTTTTAGTAAATTGTATTTTGAATATAGATCATTGAATATTACAAGAGAATCTGATAATAACGTCCCTTTGATTCTTAATCAAAACAACAAAAGAGACGATTTCAAATCACATACTAAAATGAAAACAAGAACTGACCCAAGTAAATATAAAAACTATTTTGATTTGAAAATATACAATGAGCCATGTGCACGAAAGGAACTAATTGCAATGCCAGAATACATTACATATATACCCACTGCGTTAGTAAAACAGGAAAATGATGATGTGTTAGTTTTAAATTCGGAAAATGACAAGAAGATACACGTTTACATGACACATATAGAACCTAATGCAATGTCAGATCTGTATAATAATGATAATTTTGATTTAAACTCACAAGAAGAGGCATGTGACTATGTAAAACTCGAAAAACTAATTGCAATAGCAAAACTACATGCTGGGGATCATTTGCACTTAAACCCAAATAAGGAGATGTGTTTCTCCATAACACATTTAGAACCAAATATAACAATAGGTCCATATAATAATAAGTATTTGGCTTTTAACCCAGAAAAGGATTCATGCGCCTATATAACACATACAGAACTAAATGTAATAGCAGAACCAGATAAATTCAGTTTAGATCCAGACAACGATATGCGCCCACATGAACATGGACCTAAAAATGATGCAGTAAAATAAATGGATAATGACGATCATTTTGATTTGAATTCAGACAAAGAGACATACGCGAACACTAAGCAAACAGAATTAGATGAAAAAAACAATCCGATACATTTTATATGATGGCACCAGTATACCAGCGGTTCGGACTTTGGGTGATGCACTTTAAGAGGTCTCAGTGAAATTGTGCGATAGAGCCATTTTTAGAAATGAACTTTTCTGAATTGACTCTGATGCAGATGTTCGGTGCTCAGATTTAAATTCGTTTCTCTGGTACAATTTTCTTACTCGTCTCAAGCGAGGTTATAGTTGTTATTAAAATGTTAATCCAGAAAAGGAAACAAGAGAGACGAAAGTACATTATGTAAAAAAAAATCTTATGAATGTTACTAATGTAATGTAATAAACGGGCAGTTCTCATGAACTTCCGAAATTCATGCTTTCGATATTTATGAAAATTTTTAGGAAGAATTTACATTTATTTTTTGTAAATTTCATAGTACTTATGTAAATAGTATTTGATAATATATAGTGATCCTCAATATAAATGACTTTTAAAAAAAGAAGAGGTAGTCAACATTTGAGGACGAGGGAATGGCGGTGAGGGAATGGCGAAATCAAAATAAACCAAGAAAAATAGCCATATAAACTTATTTTTAGATATTTTTACTGCTACTAATAAGTCATCTGAGTGTTTAATTAATAAATAAAATCAAATACATAATTTCTTTTTATATGATGTGATGGAATGACTAACTTTTAGCGCCCAGTTACACGACGCGAAAGCTTCCGCGCGGCCACCGCGCGGGGTGAGCGCGATGCCTTTCGTGTCGAGTAAATGCGCCCTTAGAATTTTAAATTAAATCTTTTCGTAGTAGAATTTTTTTACACACACAAGTCGAATTTCATTTTGAAACGTTTACAGTGCTGTTAACTTTCTAAAACTTATAAATGCATTTACCAAAGATTAAATATGCGTTTTCAAACTGAGAGAAGGAAATTAAAATTGTGAGGGAATGATTTTTTTGGTTGGGACCATAGGTCAATGGTTGGGACCAAGAATTGGTTGGGACATGAATAATATAGGTACATTTTTAAATTTCTTTTCGGGATAGCTTTAATTTCGCAAATAGTAGTTCATGTGACTGTTACATAATGAAAGGCATTAAAATGCGAGTGAGGGTTTATGAAACGGGCCGATAAAAACATCTCACGAGTGTTTTAATGCCTACTCATATACAGTTACACACTGCTTTATCTACACACATATTATAAGCTCTCTGTGATGTGTTCATGAACCGCGTGTTACAACTGGCGAAATGGCAGCGAATAAAAACTTTCTCACGCATGTCACACAACCGTAGTTTTTATTTTTAATTCATAGACAAACTAGAATCGGCCCCAACCTTAGACTATTCTTTTATTTTTTTCCATCCTCTAAGGCCCCAACTATCATATCGTTCGATATGAAGTAACGTGTGATATTGTCAATGTAGTTTGCTATTAACATTTCATTTCGAATAAAACTTCATCTCGATGTTAGAATTGAGATCCAATCAAATTGTTTTGTTTTTCAGAAATTTGAATATAATAATAACATCGAAATCGATGACAATGCTTCATAATAACATCGAAATCGATGTTATTACGAAGCATTTTCGCAGATACGAAATCTGTCCAACAAAACAGTTTACCTTTAAGCTGGTCGTAATTTGCGGTTTTTGAACACATTATAGAGAGTTTATGATATGTGTGTAGAAAAAATATTTTATGTGATCGTATGTTTATAATTTAAAGGTTATTTTTGTTGATTTAAAGCACAAAACGTGTTTGATTATGGAACTTGAGATAGAGTGTTGGAATGATTTTGGGGACATTTTTATATTGTTATTATTTTTATCTATATAGAATAATTAACATTTTACGTAGGTATTAGTAGCAATTGAATTATAATTTGCTATTAAATATTTATTTTACGGCAAAAATGAAATACTTTGTTTTATAGGACAAGAATTTCGGGGATTTTATAAAAATATACACAAATATTATTATCGTACCTATGCTTGGTGCTTTAGTTTATTCCAGCTCAACAAATACTTATATTTTTATACTTTTTTATGTTGTTAACTCCGACAAACAAACTGTTCATATGATGGAAAACAACCATATGTACATTTACACTATTAATTCCTTAAGGAATATCCTTATTTCGGAAGTTGCCGGTTGTGGAACACGCGGTTAGAAATTCAGCTAACCTATAGTAAAACCTAGTAAATAAGCGCTTTAGACTAAATTTTAACAAGCGAGCCTAAAAACAATTGAAGGTCGCGCTTAAACAATTTAAAAAAAGAGGAAAGTAGCTTAGAATAATAACGCATAGAATGATAGTTTCATATCAAACGAACTGTCACAAGTGAGGCAAAAATCAAATTCATGTAGGCTAGTTTTAGTAGTAGGTCAATTTTCGGTTTTAGTGAATATTTATATAAAAATACAAGTTGAAACGCGTTACTTCCTAGTGGAATGTGATCTTAGTATCTATCTATCTATTTTATGTTTGTCTGACGTATTTTTACACTAATTTACCGCACATTTCGTCATTTTTAGGTAAAATTCTGGAGCTGTTCGCGGTGCAAGTTGACCTTGAGCACTGTCACAAAAATGATCACAACTTATATATATTGTTACATATTTTATTTACTTACTAATTTTGAATATTTATATAAGTAAGTAAAGTTACTGTAGCAGCCAGAATCAAGACATATTAGTTGAGTGTTGCGAGGTATTATTTGGTCTAGTTATTGCATTAGAGAATTTGGAATAAAATTTGATTTTGTTTGACTAATTAATAAAACGACTAAAATTATCAGTATAAGTAAAGTTTGTTATCCATTAATTACCAATTCAAATACCTAATACGGCGCTTTAACGACTTTAGATAGATAGATAAATGGTTTATTTATCACAAAACACACATATGCGATACACGTAAACAAACAAAAAAAAATAAAAAAACTAATCCAAAAAAACAATAGTACAAAAAAAGTAACACTACAATAAATACAATATAAGCGTTAAAACAAGATATCATTATTTTTAAATTTTAAAAAACAAAAGATCAAATAACAAAGTACAAACACAGAAATATTATAGGCATTACAATAAAAGCTCGCAACGCATTGCATGTGTGCGCTGCACTATGGGGAACCGCCTAAGAGAGCCATGCCATAAATGGTTTTCTCAAAAGTCTACGGAGATACATGTATTATACCTCATATTAAAGCTAAAAGATCAATCTATACAAATATATATTTATTAAACTTCTGTATGATACTATTTCATGGCATAGAGCAGCCAAATATGCGGAATGAAAAAATGTTTAAAATAATTTTAAATTTGTGATTTGTTCAATATGAATTTACAGTACATAGCAATGGTAATAATACAAGTGTTATACCATATTGGAAAGCTGAAAATTTGTACTTTTTTCTGAAGTACATGTATATAATCTGCTCTCGTAAATATACCCATCAGCTATGTACATCTCGTGATATGCAAATTTTGCTTATCCTTAATATTCAATTAGAGTTTTGACTGTTGCCGAAATTTGCCGATGTTCTATTTTCTGATATTCTATTGTATAAATAGTGTTGTTTCATAGGAAAACTAACTAATTTATATTAGAAGAAAAAAAACTTGCGGTTTCCTTGCGTAACATATATGAATCTATTAAAATGTGAACTTAGCAAATTTTGTTCTTACTACGCCAACTAACTATCTTTCAAAACTTGGAAGTTATAGGTTTATGACATGAAAATGACTCAATCTTCCCACAGTGCGTAATTGCTGCTCAATTAGAGCAACATACACTGATATTCTGCTACGCCCGAGAATAGCAGAAAATAGCGAAACCGCTGCGCGTCACAGTTGAGTGCGTGTTAGAGTATAATTCAAAAGAATTAAATGTTTATAGAATCATATTTATATTTATGGTTAGTACTATTAGTCTGTGTCCACATAGTAATAATAATAACAGAATAATTAGATTGGTGTTAGTGTTAGATTAATAGGAGTTATAAAAATAAATTATTGGTGGAAGGTAGCAATCCATAGACTCAAAGTACTTCGGAATATCAAGTTTTTGTTTGCGTAAAATAGCCTCTTTAATGTGTTTCCTAAAGGTAAACTTAGTATGCACAGATCTTATTGGCGGAGGAATATTATTCCAGCACTTTGTAGTCTGAGGGCGGAAGCTACCCTCAAAAACTACCGTGCGGTGTATACATATAACCCGCCAGAATTGGCCTAGTAGTTCGAGTGTGTGCAGAGTTTGTAAATTGTAACTTATTATACAGATACTCAGGGCTTTTAAATTTCATGATGTCAAACATTAGACAGACAAGGTGAAGCTTTCTTCGAGAGTCCATCCTGAGCATTGACGCATCATTTAGAATGGCTGATATGTGACTTCGTGGAGGGACATTGAAGCAAAATCTGCAGCGAGCCATTTTGCACACCCTACAATAATCGCTGAGTCTTTGCAAGCAGACGAGGCCCATAAACAATGTCGCCATAATTCTAGATAAAACGAGCGACTCACAAACAGCAATCCATACTTTAAAACCTAGCAAGTCTGTTAAGTGTGTTTTGAATAGGTTGCAGTGACTTATAAGATTTTTAACTGGTCACGAACGAGACTAGATGTGCTTTACTAGGTTTTAAGATTTCGAAATCTGTGATAAATTGTACAATTTTGAAGCGCCTGTCATCGCAATGAGCTGACTTACTTTACGAGAGTAGGATTTCGTTTAAATATATTCAAAGCATTATGTCTCGACCTGTGTTGGTCGATCATTTTTAATAACCTGGGTCGATCATGACCCATGCGTAATGTGATCGGGTCAAATGATTCGATCATATGTTCGATCTTTTAGCGGGTAACTCGTCGTTCACCATACTTCCATATGGCGTTTAAAAGTGTCAAATTATACAATTAGCCTATATTGGCTTATTCTTTCCTGCTGATGGGTAATGTGTATAAAGTTAAATGCATCATTAATAAACAATACTTAGGACACTAAAATTTCTTTCTAGGTAAAGGTATAACACCTAGCATTCAAAATTGCTAATTTATTATTCATTAATATTTTAATATTAGCTAGTGTACTTATAAATAATCAACACATACCGAAAATCAGATTAAACTTACTAACTTGGTAACAAAATTACCATGTAATGGACACTACGCCACGGAGCAATTAGATTGATAGACTCACTGATCCGTTGATCCGTTAACCCGTCGACCCGGTAACTCATTGATCGATTGCTTGACTTTTTCGTGCGATCAAAAGAAGGTTCTATCGAACGAATGCTCTGTCGAACAAATGTTCGACCCAAACGAAAAGTGAGAAGGCCAACCATAGATTTAGTATATAGGTACCCATAAATCTATGAGGCCAACCACGTCGTGAGTGGGGACTTCACGTGAGAATGAACCAGACAACAATAATATTATCAGTTTCAGACTGAGTGTTATGTCAATTGTTGAATAATCTCTAAAATTATAGAGATAAAGTCGAATATATATTATATATATTGCACGCATGACCCATGAAATTCTTAAATTATCGGGTTGTTTAGAAATTAGTAATCCGGGTTATCGGGCCACAGGTGCTGTTGGAATCATTTTGATTCGATCGATCACGATCGACACATCTAATTTTGTCCCTTACTAGGCTTTGCTCTGGAATAGCAGATTTGTCTATATTTATGATTATGCTTTTCCTACCTTTCAATCCGTAACATAGCTGTGCTGCTTCACGGTAGAAATACTTAGGTAACGCGATGGTACTTACCCAGGCAGGTGCTGCACTGTTAAAAACCTGTCATTAACTACTTTTCCTATAAAATTCTATTCTGTTTGCAAAACAGCCCTTTTTTACGTGACATACTTCGATGAGTTCGACCATCTGACATGAGTTAGCACTTAAGTCACTTTTTTAATTAAAATAGTTTCTTTGTATGATTGTAAATATATTACATACGTATACAATATCTATATTAATAGCAGTAGAGCTTGTGAAAGAGTTCGTCCAGGGAAGTGTTGCCACCTTATCTATTTATGCCACCAAGCAGTAATGTCAGCATTACCGTGTTCTGGTTTTGAGGGGTAGGTGCTGGTGAAATTACAGGCACATGGGACTTATCAAGTTATGTCTCAGGGTGACGGGCGCAGTGGCAGTGCGCCTCAGATCTTTGCGATTTTGACAGCTGAGTGGCACTGCAACTGTTATGGACAGGTGCACGACTTGTTCGTCCCGTCACTTGATGTTATATACAAAAAAAACCTACATTATATTCAAATTCGAATTCGAAAATTATCTTTATTTCATAGGTAAGCAAATTATACTAAAATATCTTAATTAAATTCTACTGCTCATTCGTAAGGCAGAGTTCCCTGAGAAGAATGAGCAAGAAACTCTAGGAGTTGCTCTTTTAAATATACATTTGATTACATTTAACATTTACAATATTTATTTCAAGCATCGAAGATTGAGACTACCTAAAAAAGCTAAACGGGTCACTACCACGGATTCTTGTCATCCAGAAGCTATAAAATAACCTTAAACTTAACTATAAAGTTTTTGTTTCACTATAGTCTCAAACCTCGTAAATGGCAAATTTTGAATATCCACCGCAATCTATTATAAAAGCTTTTCATTGCCCGTTAAATGAATTTGGAACTTTGTGAAGACGATTGTCAAGAATAGTTTGTTTATTTTTATTAGCATTAGAATAATACTTTCATTAACTGTAACTAAAACAGATATAAATAGATATTGTTTGACATTTTATATAAGCTAAGTTATGTTTTAAAAGTTGTACCTACAAATTACATGCCTTGACATGCTAAATGTTGCATGATATGACATATGAGTTAGGGAAAAATGGCGACTTAAAAATTTTCACATAATTGACGAGTTTCAAAAATGACCTGTTGACGAAAATGGCGTATTAATGATAATGGCGAGTGGTTCCCTAATTCTGTAAATAGGCTGGTTATAAACTTGTAAGTTAAAACTACATAGAAGAAATGAAAATCGATATTTATGTTTCACCATAATTATTTTGTTTTGTTATTTAATAGTAATATCTACCCACCTATAGATGGCGTCACATTATGTACGTAGGGATGTAGACGTGGTAGAACATTCTATGATGTTCGCGCAAGCTGCGCGAACATATTGATTTTTCGTGTCTGCGCACATCCGTTTACCAGTTACGATACGACTACGATACGCCGTTTCTTATATAACTATATGATTATGTTTGTACTTCCCTATTGTAGTGTAGTTTCTGTAAGTAATTTTTTTATACAGTTTCAGGAATATAATGCTGCCAAAGGAGGCAAAACCAATGCTATTTATGGTATTTTAAGTTTCGAAAGTATTACAATATTTAAAATATGAAAGATGACGAAATGCACAATGATCTAATATATCTGACTTCGATAGCATCCTATTTCATCCTAATGTGTTATTTAAAATTAATTACACAATTAAATTTTTTTTAAGTGCTCAAAAGTTTTAAGATTATTTACTGTCAATTTCTATATTACGTGTCCACCGCAAATCAATAAGTATACATCATTGGTGTATAAGGCGATATCGAGAAATAGAAACGTAATGTAAATTAATTTGTTTGACAGACGGTGACAACTGCGCTCCGATTGGCCAGCCCGAATACGAAACAATTGACGGGTGTCGTCAGTTGTTTCTCTTCAAATCGACCAGTTTAACTTGGGCTTTGCTATAATGGACGAAAATTGAAAAAATTACATATTTAATATTTTATTACCGATGAAATGTGATTTCGTTTGTTTTGTAATTAGATGTTTTGCTGTTTTTCCCACACCACCGAATGGAACAGCCTCCCATTGTTAGAGATATTATATTTATTACAAGAAATACAGCATAATTTTGGAATATACGGAGACGTAAACACAGATCAGTTGTTATATTTAAAAGTGATATAAGGCCCATTTGCCTAATAAGTTGCCAGTTATGGGTGGCCCTTATTTCGTGTCTATTTCTGATTACATGCTCTATGTAAGAAGAGGAAACTTCTTTCAGGAAAGAGGTTTAAAATTATAACTTTTTATGCTTAAAAATCGGAGAGTTACAAAATGTCACGTAATATACATAATTTGCTTCATGTAGTTCATATTATTTTTATGATTTTCATGCGATAAAAACTTTTGAGATTGTGAATTATGCAACGGGTCTGAGGATCGTTTCGACCGCGTCGTACAGTTGTAAACAATCACTTCCAACCCCTTCCTTTTCGCAGCAAACTTCACTCACTTCGCACTCGATCAGTCTCTTTCCCAATTCATTAGAATAATTTATTAAAAGAGGGTATTTTTTCAACCCCCCACCTCGCTTTTTATGTGATTTATTTACAAGGATGTAATCGCTGTGTTAAAAGTAAAAAAAATACCAAAAAAAAGGAAAATTATTTTAACGAAAAAAAAATTTCTTTCATTTGCAAAATCCAGATTTTTATTTGTCGTTAGGTGTTCTAGATAAGCAAAAAAAATGGGGATTTGTGAAAATGTGATTTTGATAATCGATAGGTAGTTCAAGAATGCCGAAGAGAATCTCTTTCCATGTCGTTTACGCAACAAGTAAGTAATTTAATTTTTGTTTTAATTCCTGATATTTTTCGTTGTTATGAAAGTTTCTTTTATAACAAAAATATACGAATTATAATACATTATATACAAGTAATTTGAATAGTAAATTTAGGATCTATTAAAATTAATATTTACTGCCACGTAGCAAATATGGCGAACGATAAAATGAAAATGTACATTTTTCCTAATAGCTTTGTACAATAATTATAAAATTTTGTTACATAATGTTTTAAACAAAGAATACAGTACCCTAAAGTTGCTTAATATATGTACATGAAAAGAAAAATAATTGAATTTTTTAACCTAGGCAGTGGTATAAAAGTTTCAAGGAAGGCCGCGCCCTGGAATGACTAAGCTTACCTATTTTTGAAAATGTTAAATATTGAAATTGCTTTAAAATAATTGTTTTTTAGTTAGTATTTCGTCGTAAATGACGAAAATCATAATCAAATTAATGAGTATTCAAGAACACAGTTATTGATTTTTTGCAAGATATTTCACAACAATTATAATTTATAAGAAACATTGTGAGAAAATTTGTATTTGGGAGAATCAAATGTTTTTGTAGAACTATGACGTCCCATAACTGCCTTAACTCATTCACTGTCAATGGTTGACAAAATGGTGGCCCTTATATCCAATAAGACATATTGACACTGAATTTGAGGAAATTTGTGTACTTTAACAATATTTTACACTCCTTCGAAAAGAATCGTATGCCCAAATTCACAATTCTAAAGGGGAACGCTTTAATGTAGCGAACCTCGTGATATTAGATTATTTTTCATGCTACTACGTAAAAGGAAAGCGATTTATAAAAAAATGTAGTCTACACTAACAGTAGAGCTCCCTGTGAAAGAATTCGTCAAGGGTGGTACTGCCACCTTGCCTATTTCTGCCGTCAAGCAGTAATGTCAGCATTACTGTGTTCCGGTTTTGAATGTTAAGGGTGCTGATGAAATTACAGGTACATGGGACTTATCAATTCAATATCAGGGTGACGGTCGCAGTGGCGTTGTCCTACATATCTCCAATTTAAAGTGGCATTGCAACTGTTATGGATAGGCTTATAGTTCATCATCAGGCGCACTACTTGTTCGTCCCGTCACTAGATATTATAAAAAAAGAGCCTATTGTTGTGTTCGATGTATTATTTAATGCTAAATATCCTAAATGCATCAGAGTTTTTGTGAGTGAAATGGAACGGGTCAAGATGAAATGATGAACTGTGAAGACCTTCCTAACTCTGGGACAATATAGATTGAATTAAGGGTGTGTGCTATCCTCAACACCGTCATAACTCTACAACGTTAAAATAGTTATAAGAGAGAGAGAAGCACTTTAATTTGGATGGATTTGTTATTCAATAATGCCTCAGCAACTAAGTGGAATCCGTTCATCAATTTGTGATGGTAAAGTATTATAATACAGACATGGAATACCTAATAATAAAAATGTTAAATCCGGAACGCGGTCAAATGCGAGGGGAACAGCTAGTCTGTTGCGCAGATGTCGTTGGTCATAAATCTAGGAACGCACGCATCTACCTAGATGCCCTTTATTGATTGGCTCCAGTGCGTCTGACAAAACTGTCTGTGGAATATGTTTATATTTTGCCGTACACATGCACATAATGCATTCTTCAGTAATGAAATCTACTGGACCTCTATGTTATAGATTTATTTATGATCGAATGTTTGTACAAAAGTAGTGCATGTTTTATTTTTTATTAATATATGTACTCACGCCTTTAGATTCCCATTGGGGTAGGCAGAGGTTATCGATAGCCACTTAGCACGATCCTTACAAACCTCTCTTGTTTCACTTACATTCATCATTCTTTTCATACACTCTTCTCTTTCGTATTTTTAAGAACACGTAAGTTTTTTGTGGCCGTCTCTTCCAATGATTCCTTCTACGTTAGCTCTATGTATTTCTTTCCTTAATCTAGATTCATTCAACCGCTCCATGTGCCCAAACCACCTCAGCAGTAGTGCATGTCTTTGTAATTGATAGATTCAGTCGTTACTTTGCGGAAAACCTTATTAATAACAATGGACGTAAATTACTTTGCTACTCCGCGAATCTAGTGAAGGTTAATCATTGTCATCATCAACCCGTTTATATGTCTCACTGTTGGGCACGGGTCTTCTCTCAGGTGAGGGTTTTAGGCCATAGTCCGCTACGCTGGCCCAATGCGTTTTAGGGACTTCACTTTATTTTTCATTTTGATTTGATTCCACCATCTAAGTCGGGACATCAGTATTTGAATATCCTACTGGATCCACTAGTGGAACCAAGAGTGGAACCAACGGTCCGAAAGGGACTTCACACGTTTTCCGAGGATTGTGAACCGTCTTCAACGTGCAGGTTTCATTGCGATGTTTTCCTTCACCGAAAAGCTCGTGGTAAATTTTAAATTAAATTTCGCTCATTAATTATGAAAAACTCAGTGGTGCGATTCCGGATTCGAACCATGGCTTTAAGTTCGTTTTTCCACCTTCCCTTCACATAAATTTTATACAATCTCAAACACCACCAAGAATAATGTATCCGTTACGTGTTTCGTCTCTATACGCGGCACCCACGGGAGTTGTAGATTGTTCGACACCCGGCCAAAGAAATTTTAATTTTATTTGATTTGCCGGCGGAAAACTAACAGTATGAAAAAAATTCATCATAATGGTCGACAGATCCGGCCGCGAAAGCGTTCCGGTCGAGGAAATTTTAATAATGTACGAGTTCATGTGAACCCAAACGCGCGGCGACGCGTCGCGATGCGGGGCCAAACGGTATGACAAACAGGCGGACCAGGTGCGGGGCTGACCCGAGACGAACACAGTGCGGGCGCGGGCGCGGGCGTGCGAGTCGTTTTCCATTGGTTTCTATGCCACCGTCCACACAGAGCGGTAGCAATGGGCGCGGTCCGGGAGCGGGGCTTTAGCGGGCTTGGACGATTTTTTAGCAACTTTTGAGCGTGTTTTGATTTGGTCCCAACAGCAATTCGATTGAACTTTCTTTTTCTTTGCTTCTTCAACGCTAATAAATGTAGAAAATTTTTTGATCGTTATCCGACGGCGATATGGTTTGTTCTTTTAAAATCTGTGTTGAAAACGAAATGAAACGTGGCCGCATTTTGTGTCACACTGGCCGCTATTCCGCTGCGAACTATGATTGGGACTGCTGTGTGGCACGCCCCTTTTCCCGCTGTACCGCGTCGGTGTGGCCTGACTTTAAGCCTAGCGCTCCTCCTACCGCAAAATGGCGGCTATTTGGTTTCGCAAATTAGAAAAGCATTCAGTTTAAATACAAGTTTTTATAAATAAAAATTATTACTTTGCATTGCTAAATAAATACCCTCCGTACTACCAACAAAAACATCTCAAATAAAATGCAGTAATACACCGCAAATCCTGCACTTAAAAAGCACTAATGAAATTTTTGGTGTACTTGGATAAATATGATAAAATTCCGTTTGAGTGGTTCTAACGTTTACCATGAAATTACTCCTTATAGTATAGTTTATAAACATTTATATTCAGGGTAAACTTAAAAAACGCTACTTACGGTATGTTTTCAATAAATAAACACCGAAATCACCAGCCCAAACAATAACACACACGATTGTCGTGACGTATTTTGGAAGTTGTTTATTTTTTAAATGACAGACCCAGCCATTAAAAACTTTATGGTTTGCTAGAGTAGTTACCGAAATAGCAATTAATATTACTTCTTTTACATGCTATAACTTCGATATCCGATAAATCGGTATAAAATCATCACCGGCACCTCTAGGTGTGGTATGCGTCTACGGCTGCATGTATCGCGTGAGCGGCTAAGACGATTTGACTTTCTCTAGGTTCGCGGAGAGTAAATTAATATACATTATTTTTATTAACGTCGGTTTGTAGTACTTACTTATATGGTCGTTTATGATAGCGATGAATAGCAGTTACTTAATCGTTGTGAAATGGTTCCAGTTACGAATAATGCCATCCAATGCACATCCTGAGTACATACCTGGCGCCAAGCAGTAATGTTAGTACTATCTAGCGGGTTCCGGTTTTGAAGGTTAAGGGTGCTGGTGAAATTGCAGGTACATGGGACTTGTCAACTTCTGTCTCAGGGTTTTAACGCTCTGAGCGGTACTGCAGCTGTTACCACCAGGAGCACGACTTGTTCGTCCCATCTCTTGATCTTATTAATAATCTCAGTACAGAGCACTAAAAAAACCAACCTCAAAAGTGCGTGGTATTACGTCTATTTGCTAAGTTTTATTGAAATATCCTTAAATTCGCCACTACACAGGACTTGACACTGGAGATAATAAAAATCGGTTCTCACTACTCAAAGAATATTGAGAGAAAAACGCCTTGAATTGGATATAGCAAAATCAACCATTAAAATAATTGCTCCTTAAGAAAATTTAGGCGCTATTTATAAAAATGAATCTTCATGCGTGTACAGCCACCCTTAGAGGTAGGTGATTTCTTTCAAAATGAAAGAAATTTCATTTCCAATAAAAAAAGAATAATTTCATTTCCAATAAAAAAAGAATCATGAAAATCGGTTCACAAATACCGGAGTTATCGCGTAACATACACACAAAAAAACATACAGTCGAGTTGAGAACCTCCTCCTTTTTTGAAGTCGGTTAAAAAAACATTACTTTGAAATAGAAACCTGTTATTATTTGACTATGGATACCTTATAATATAGTAATACGTTTCATCTCAAATGCGCCAGAAGTTGAGAGGAGCATCTAGTCTATTGCGCACATGTCAACGCTCATAAATCTAGGTACGCACGAAGCTACCTAGTTGCCCTTTATTGATTGGCTCCAGTGCGCCTGACAAAACTGTCTATGCAATATTTATTTCTATTGATGTGTATGTTATGCACCTTTCGCGTGCTGTAATTATCTTTATTTCATTGACATAAGGGTCATAACATACGTGTTTGTTTAGTATCGTAATGGTTTTTACACAAAAAGAATTAGTGTATAGTGTACTCGGGTATTTAGTTGTGTGGAATAGAGATGAATTGCGCGTCGTGTCACCGAAGCTACCCGTTTGCACCGAACAACGCGCACCTCAACAAACATACCTGATGCGCTGCAGAATACAGTGATCTGCGATCTGCCAGTACACCTTGCCCATAGACTGCATATGTAGAATGTTTGGCGGATTGCCTTGAACAAGGTTGTCTTTTTTTTATAACGTACAGACACAACATAGTCCCGCATTAGGGAAACCCTGTGTCGCGGATGCCATGGACATACACATAGATAATCACAAATTACACACAAACTACCGCGAGAAATAAATGTAGGCCATACAAATATTTCTCCCGGTCCGGGAATCGAACCTGGGACCTCTGCGTGACAGTCCGGCGAGGTAACTGTTCGGCCACGAAGGCAGTTAAAACTTCTACTTAAATCAGTTTTGACTTCTACATTACAACGTAAATTCCCACTTAAATTTTATAAAATCGATTGTCTCAAACTTTGATTGTGTATTTATTTATTTATTCATTTGTATTAGTAGACACGTTATATTTAAAATATTACACGCACCCAGTAAGGGTATAACAAATGATTAGTTTTATAAACTAAAATTGAAATGAATAATACAATTTGAATAAAATAATAAAAATTAAAAATACAATTTGAATATAAGACTTAAAATTATTAATAATACAATTTGAATACAAGAATTAAAATTAATAATACAATTTGTTGAATGCAAGTTAATGGTTTACATAACGGAAGCAATATATTACTATGAATATTACTTAAAAGTATCTTCAAAATACTCATTAACTGAGTAATAGCATTTCTGATTTAGTAATTAATAATTTGAGCTTATTACAAAATGTGGAGTTTCTTATTTTCTATTGTTTTTAATGTGTCAAGTAATTTGTTATATATTTTTAATGCATTCTGGTATGGAAGGGTAAGGGTGCTGGTGAAATTACAGGCACATGGGACTTGTCAACTTATGTCTCAGGATGACGGGCGCAGTGGCAGTGCCCCTCAGATCTTTGCGAATTGAAGCTCTGAGTGGCACTGCAACTGTTAAGGACAGGCGTGTAGTTTACCACCAGGCGGACGACTTGTTCGTCCCGTCACTTGATATTATAAAAAAAATGTCTAACTTGAGCAGTGGTATCGCTTCGGTAGCGACGAAAATTCCTTCATAGAGTCACAAGCACCTTAATAGTACCTCAACCCTTTTTGCATGTTTTCATCATCTGTTGATGACGATAATGCTTCGCATCCTGCGCATCCGTAGGGCTACTGTGGTGGTCAACAGAGAAGACCTGTTAGTTGGTCTTAGTATGTTTTGTTCTGTACCTTGAGCTAGGTTTTTTCCTTTTTCTTTTTTTTATTTATTTTGGTACAAACAGTCATTGCAATATGAATTAATACAGAAATTTGAACTATACTATAGACAACATGTACTAAAAAGGCTCAAATATATAAGTAGAATATAAAATAAAAGCGTTTTTGAACCAAAAGCGAATGGTTAACCATATGGGTGCTTAGACAAATTACTACTTAGAACTAGAGAAGATTAAAACAAAACTAATTAACTGGGATGTAAACCGGCTTCAGGTTTCATAGACAGTAAATAATTTGTTGTGGATGCTTACCTTAAATCTGTTCAATGAGATACCAAACATATCCGTGGTACAAAATGTATTATTATATAAAGATAACATAAAAAAATTTTATTTTACGTTGTTTTTGTTTTAGGCGAAGACTCCTCGTATCCAGCATGCGAGCTGAATGCTCAAGGACCGGCGGCGCGGGGCTGGCGCAGCTCGGGTGCTCCACCCCACGAGCTTTTGCTACGGTTGACCACCCTCACAAGTGTACACAAACTGCAGTTGTTAGCCCACCATCAGCTTATACGTGAGTACTGTCATTATTATTAACCGCCTAAAAAAAAAGAGGAAGTTTTCAATTCGACTGTATGTTTTTGTGTAATATATTAAGCGGTTAATTATTTGAAGAAAATGTTCTTCTTCTAAGCCCCTTTTGCACACTGCATCCGGTTTGTATCCGTTCCGAATCCGAAACATACAAATCTAAAAAACTCGGACCCATTTCGGATACACTTAGAGATTAAATGGTCCCTGTGACATTTCGGAACGTCATTTCTCGGATTAACTAGAGGATGAATCCGCGTTCCGCGCACTTTTGCATTGACCGGTTTCAATAAAACTTGGCAAATAAATGTAATTCCAATAAAAAAGCCGATAAGCAAGTTTTGAAGTCGTTTTTTAAATAAAAACTTTATTGATATAAAGATCGAACAAAGGCAAAGGAAAATTTCTTCAACCCGACTGAGCTCGAACGAGCGACTGTTGTCTCAACGTGGCTACCACTCTGCTAACAAACGGATCGATTTCTCTATGCGCTTGTTGCGGATCTTTGTATTGGTTTGAAATCTATGTTTCTATGAAAACTTATGAAGGGTTCTTCAATCAGCTGTAGTTTGTACAGAAGCTGTAGTTAGTAGTGCGAGTGCTATAGATGTGAAAGCTAAGGAATAAGCTGTGAAATTACTTACAGCGTGTTATGTTTAGAGTTGTAATCATACAGCAAATACCGGTACAACAATTATGATTGTGATTACAAAATCGAACACACAGAAGGTTATTCAAAAATCTCTCACTAGATGCCACTAACGGCGACGAATGTCGAAAGTCAGTACAAAGATCTATAACAAAAAGCACATAGGAGAATTTCGACGACTCGGACCCGTGGCCCCGATGCAGCATGAGCGGGTTTCAAGTCCCACCTGGTCGATGAAAGCTTTTCTTGGTTCTCGAACTTTCTATACAATAACAAAATTAGTGGAGTAATTTAACAAAAAAATCTAAATAAATAAAATTACATGTAATCTTATAGATATCAGAGTTTCAACTAAGTAGTTACCATGGCATTATCTACTGGTGATTACAACTACTGCTACTACATGTACGAGTAATACGACTTTTAGTGTTATTATTACCGGTAACGCAACTACTAATGCCACAACTAGTTGTGATATAACTACTGATAATACAACTACTGATAATCCGATTGCTAATACTAGAACTACTGGTTCTACAACTACAGATAAACGGCGAATATAATAGATTTACTATCACAGTATTTGTTCGATAGTGTATAGCTGTTATTTCGAGGAATACCAATATTGTCCGTCTTTAGAAACGACGTTTGCCTTGTTACGTATTTTTCTCAATGGAAAAAGATTTTCGCGCTTATCTACGTAGGTGGAAAAAGTATAATTAAGTGGTTATTTATAGAATAGTTTGAACCACTAATTTGAACGTTTTAGTACGCATCTGGGTTATAGTCTAAAACAAAAACTTTCATTATAGCGGAGTCAGTAGAAGTCCTGGTATCTGGAGGGTTGGTCTCCGAAGGCGCTGCCACACCTTGCGGGGCGACGTATACAAGCGTAGGCCGCGTGACCCTGGCCAATCCTGCGCCTCAAGCCAGGACAAGAGAGTTAAGGTATTCAGGGTTATTTGATTCCCCTTAGTCCTATAAGAACAAAAAACTGGTGCTACACTTACTGGTACTCCGACTACTAGTTCTACAACAACCGGTATTACCACCATAGGCATTGCCTTAGTGTATAGGAGTTACACTACTTGTCCTTTATTGTACTATGGTACTGCAGTCTATTACGATAA